CAAAAAGCTAACCAGAAGAAATCAAAGTAGAGGGGAGACCTTGATCAAACTCCTCGAGAACACAGAAATTCATATATTCATGAGAACTCCTGATGAAAGAGTAGAACAAGGACTGCAGAAGGGTTTGCTTCTCATGAAAAAAAATAAGCTTTCAAACAATTTTCAAAGGGAAGAAAAGTGTTGGCCAGACGCTCCTCATATCTTGAGATAAGTTTCTGGTTTTTAACGGAAAAAAATATGAGGAATGTTGAGTGAGACTTGTCTGACTATCTGTACATGTCAAGATTTAACTTAAGCATGACGATTGCCTTTAAGAGTGTGTTTCATCTTGCAGTGGTCTCCTACAAAACAGTCAGAAGGATCATATCCTAAAAAACCCTTGATTGTAAAGAGAACCCTGGTTGATGACCTCAGATATAGATCTATAGACTTCACTTGCCCAGAATTAGGTGTTACAAATCACTCTCTCAGCCAGAGAGATCCCAGCTCATCCCAGGTCAGACAGACCTACAAGACAATGCATTTCAAAACATGAGCCACAAGACTCAGCAGCTGCCTTGTTGGAGGAAGGCAGCTCCTTTATGAGATGGTGGGAGGAACCATCAACTGGTTCATGAAACCATTCCAAGTAGTTGTCCAAGTGGTGTCTCTTTCAGTCTCTTCCAGCTTCAAATAGAATGCCTTGAATTAAAAGGCACTTTAAAGATCACCTAGTTCCAAGCCTCTTGTCATGGGCAGGGACACCTTCCACTAGAGCAGGTTGCTGAGGGTCTCATTCAGCCTGGCCTTGAACATTTCCAGGGATGGGGCATCAGCCTGTTTCAGGGCCTCACCACCATCACAGGGAAGAAATTCTTCCTAATACTGAATCTAAACCTACTCTCTTTCAGTTTCAAAGCATTCTCCTTTTTCCTATAACTACATGCTCTTGTAAAAAAAAAAAAAAAAAAGCCTCTCTCCAGCTTTCCTGTAGTCTCCCTTCAGGTACTGGAAGGCCAGCAATTAGTTCACCTTGATGTGTTCTCTTCCCCAGGCTGAACAATCCCAATTCCCTTAGCCTTTCCTCAAAGAAGAGGTGCTCTAGCCATCCAGTCATGCTGAAACCACAACAGAACAAGAACCATCTATTTTTCTCTGCTTGAGGCAATGGAAGAACAAACAAAAATGACATAGAGATGTTATTAAGCCATAAACAGCCCAAGAGCAAGGATGTAGAGCTTTCAGAAAAGAAGCATCTCAAAATCACCATTTTTGGGAGCTTTATTGTATAAAATTAATTTACCTATCTAGAAGGAGATTACCTTTTTCTTTAAAGTATAATTCTTAAGCTAATTTCCTTCATCACTGAGAATAAGGCCACTAGTGAATGCAAAATCTTCCACAGTGAATGATAGCTATACAGTTTACATAGTGCATTTGAAAATCATTCTCAACATGATTAAAGCCTTTTACTTCTTATATATATATTCATCTCAGCTATCACCGGGGAGTGATCCTGCAGCTTCTAGATCATGCAATATTGTCTTTAAGCAAAGGGAGTTAGTATTTTCACTCATGGTTATGAAACAGTTCATACCTTCTGCAGTTCAAGCACAGCCAAAGATATGCAACACATACCAAAGAGAGGTTATATGCAAATACACAGCGTGATGAACCCTCAATAGTACATTTTGCTTTGGCTTTCCTAGCTCTGTACAGAATATGATAACCTTGAATGCACTGAAATAACTTAAATTTATTGTGAGGAGCCAAAAAATGCTTCAAATGGTTTTATAAAGGATTAAATGTATACAATTGAGAAAAATTTAAATTGCTTATATTTTAGAAACATATCTTAAATATGATCTTAAAATATATTGCTTTAATTATTTAAAAGTGCTTCAGCTGTTCAAACTAAGTTACTTTAATTTGGAAGGCCTGTTGAAATATGCATAGATTTAAAATCTTTTTAAAACTGATCAAAAAGTTCCTTCCCTTAATTCAAATTTTTCATTAATTAAAAATGTATTTCATTCCAATTGTTCTAAATGCAATTTTCAGCTAAGAACATCCTCATGCCCTTGATTTCAAACAGTAAAGAGCCACAATAAAAAGTAATTTTTATTTTGGATCTTTATTAAAAAAAAGAAATAGATCAAAGGCTCTAGACTAATATTCTCTCATTTGCCACAAAAACACACAGTATACAGAATATCAGTGCGAGCTTGCCTCCTCATGCTACTGGGTTTTTCCCTAAGTTGGGTCTCCAAAATCCAGTCTCTGGAGTTGAATTTCAGAGGGTACATTTTTAAAGAAAGTTCTCATTTTTCTTAAGTAGAATTAGCCTTTGCCCCAGAGCCTGAAGGGACTATTGTGATCACCTTGTTGGATTAGTCAGAGGTTCAAGATCCTACCTTCATGCAAAAACCCATGCTACTTTTGAATGAACACAGAACACCTTTGAGGGGCTCATCCACTACTGGCTTAAGGACCATTTATGAAGCCCATTTAAGTGGCCTCTCACTCTTCTGCTGGATAAGATTAAGGGACTTCCCTCCATACCCACCAGACAGTTTTTCTGGGTTTTATTCTTGCAATAAGAATAGCAGTGCATTTTTCATTTTGCTACCTCACACAAACCTTCCAGCCTCTCAAGATCCTGTTGGAATTTCTCATGCTGGATCTAGACAATCACACAAATGTCTTTCATGCTGCCTAAACCAAGGAAAAGGCAGGTGAGATATTCTACAAGCAACTGGCTGATGTTTCACAATTGCTAGCCCCTTTTCTTGTGGGAGACTTTAACTTGCCAGATGTCTGCTGGAAACTCAACACAGTGAAGAGGCAGGCTAGGAGGTTCCTGGAGCGTGAGGAAGATAAATTCCTGACACATCTGGTGAGTGAGCATACTAGGGACGGTGCCCTGCTAGACTTGCTGTTTATGAACAGAGAAGAGCTGGTGGGAGGTGTGGTGGTAGGAGACTGCCTTGGGCATAGAGACCCCAAAATGACAGAGTTTACAATTCTTGATGAAATGAGGAAGGGGGTCAACAAAACCTCTGCCTTGGACAATAACAAACTCCTTAATAACAAAGGAGTTCAGGGGACCCAGACATACATTAAGAAAGAAATCTTAAAAGCACGGAAGTGGGCCATCCCCATTTGCCCAAAGATGAGCTGATGAAGGAGGAAGACTGGCCTCACTGAACACAGAGCTCTCACTGGAAAATAGAGGGAAAAAAAGGAGTTCATGACCTTTCCAAGAAGGAGCAGGCAACTCAAGGAGAGTACAAGGGGTCATTAGGTCATGTAGAGAGAAAATTAGAAAGTTGAAAACTCAGCTAGAACTCAGTCTGGCAACTGCTGTGAGAAATAAAAAATGTTTTTATAAATCAATTAACAATAAAAGTAGAGCTAAGGAAATTCTCTGTCCTTGGATGTGGGGAAGGAGGGGAACATTGTAATCAAGGACCAGGAAAAGGCTGAGGTACTTGTACTTTCTTTGCCTCAGCCTTTAACAGCAAGACTGGTTATCCTCAGCCTCCTGAGCTGGTAGACAGGGTCTGGGAGCAGAATGGAATCCCTGCAATCCAAGAGGAAGCAGCTAGTGACCCACTGTGCCACTTGGACACTCATGAGTCTGTGTGAGTACAAAGGACCTGGCTGTGTTGGCTGACAGCAGCTGAACATGACCCAGGGTGTGCCCAGGTGGCCAAGAAGGCCAGTGTCATCCTGGCCTGTATCAGCAATGGTGTGGCCAGCAGGAGCAGGGAGGTCATTCTTCCCCTGTACTCAGCACTGGTGAGGTCTCACCTCAAGGGCTGTGTCCAGCTCTGGGCCCCTCACTAGAAGACATTGAGGGGCTGGAGCATGTCCAGAGAAGGGCAGTGGAGCTGGTGAAGGGTCTAAAGAGCAAGTCACATGAGGAGTGGCTGAGGGAGCTGGGGTGTTCAGCCAGGAGAAGAGGGGGCTCAGGGGGGTCCTTTCCAACTGCCTGAAAGGAGTGGTGGGGGTCAGCCTCTTCTTCCAGGAACTAGCACCAGGGGATGCTCAGGTGGGACATCAGGGTGAATTTCTTCCTTGAAAGGGTTGTCAAGCATTGAAACAGACTGCCCAGAAAGGTGGTGGAGTCACCATGCCTGGACGTGCTCAAGAAATTACTGGATGCGGCACTTAGGGTTTAGTTGACATTATGGTGATTGGTCAAAGGTTGTATTCAATGATCTTGGAGGTCTTTTCCCATCTTAATGATTCTATGATTCCATTATCATATTAGGAACTCAGATTGCATTATGTCTGAAACAGATAGACATGTTTCTTTCAAAGCTGCATTTTTTTAGGATTCAGCCCATACTTCAAATGTTTCTCTTCTTAATGGGAACTCTTTTTTTTCTCAAGGTGAGATTGTCCACTATTTCTTCACATTAAAATTAAAAATTTAATATTTTTGATTGTGACCTGTATGTCATACAAAAAGATAACTCTGCGTAACTATCCTGCATTGTTACTGCCTGTTAATGTGATATGATGTGATATCTAAATTATGTTTTGACTATCAGCAAGGCTGAAAACTTTACCTTTCAGTTGTAAATACCAAGTATTGATTAAAAGAAATTAAACTAATTAATTTTAAAATGGATACTTTAGTAGCCTTCAGTTAATTAATAACACTCTGTCTATATTAACTAGCCACACTAGGAAGTTTGATAATGTTCTACATAGAACTCACTACAAAACCACTAGGGTTAAACTGAAAAAAAAATTAATTCACAGTTCTTAAAAATGGTAATAAGTTCTACAGACAAAGGCAAATTTATAGTCTCCTAGAATAGTAAAGCTTCAATAGTTGTGTGATATAGCCATCATATAAGAAAATTCATGAAATCATTTCTGGTCAAAACCTCATATAATATAGATTGCTTGTCTGTATAATCTTGAAAATCATCTACAGAGTTCTTCTGTAAACATTAAGTTATTCGATGATAAAAATCTGACAGTTCTAGGCACTGAAGATTACTCACCCTCGAAGGTCTCACTGCAGTATAAATTACTGAAAAATGAATCCCTCGTTCCTGCAGATCCATGGTCACTCTTCCAATTATTTTGTCTGTAAATAGAATCATGTATAATTCAACAAACTGTAAGCTGAGAAAGCTAAAATCCTACAGTAGCTGGAGAAGTAATGAGCTAGATGCTTAAGCTTATTCAGTTTGTTTAAGCAACTTAAGTGCTCATTCTGTCTAGGTACAAATAGAATAAGACACATTCAGTGTCTTGAAAAATGCACAAATATTAAAAAAAAAAAGACAGTTCAGAAAAAGGGGTGATTTTGAAACTGAAAAGTAAAACCACGGAAAATATACCCAAAAGTTTGAACTTTGGGCAATTAAAAGCAGAAGCAGACATAATTGCTTGAGAGCAGGATACATATACTGTTAGTCAAGTGACAAGTCAATAAATAAATAATAAAATTTAAGCAGTAATGTTCTGTGAATTACAAAATACACGTAACTACCACTGAGAAACAATACTCAAAACATAGTGTTTAGTGTGGGGCATGATATGCATAATACTGGTAGCAATATTTCTTTTGCCTTCTGTGGATTTAAAGCCTGCTTCTGCACCACCAACAGGACATAGGAAATTTTCAGGTTCATTACATTGGAGGCCAAAGGAGAAATATGGTGAAATATTTCTGAAAAATGAAGAAGTCAAATAAGGAAGAGAGAGCCTTTCAAAGAAGTCCAAATATGCCTCTACAAAAGATCCTCCTCTAGTTCTGAAACCACAAGTAGTTGCAATAAATACTTACAACTAATACATTTTTCAATATTTATGCAGAAACATGAACATCTGCTTATAAGGAGCACAACAGTTGTGAATCATGAACCAGTATCAGTGTTGTTATTGGGACTGCTTGAGAAGCAAGTCAGCCAACTCACATTTACTGTTCCAGTGCCTTCTCACTTCTTATTTATGTATCAGCCTGGCAGATAGATATTTTATAACCTAGGCATACAAACTTCTCAGATTTTGAGGTTATACTTTACAGAAATTGAGTTTTATTTGCATTTGCTGAAATTAAGAGTTTATATTACTATCCCCTTTAACCACTTACATTTACTGTAATTATGGTGTCCTGGCCAAGTGAAATATTTGGTTTTTTTAAGAATTCAGGCATTGTCTTTTTCTATGGGGTTTGAGCTGAACTGATTTCCTCATATCAGTCAAGAATCATAGCTATGTAAATTTTTCTTCAAAAAATTATTGCTAAGATGATCTACTATAAGAAATGTACTTAGGAAAATAACTGCCTAAAAACTACTGCCATAATTATGTCAGTTGCAGAGATCCAAGACATTATATAATGTAGATTTTGTATTCTGGATTCATAGATTTTGGAAATTCTTTTCAGCCCTAGCAAAAATTTGCAGAACAAAAGAAAATAAAATGTATAAAAATGCAGAGACTGACTTTGGGTTTTCTTTCATTAAAGCAACAAATAGCTTTCTGAAATAATGTGCTATTTGCATTTCCCTTCAGAAAGGAGCTACATGTAGCTATAGTTACCAGTAACATCTATAACTCCTGCCTTCAGGAAGGTTCTAGAGGTAGAAGCTTCTGTGAACATCCTTCTGACAATAGAGTTGATATAGATCTCTGTTTTGCCTGCGATCAGAACTCTACCTTTCTTGTGAAGTATTTTCAAATTCTCCAAAGAAAAGAGATCAGACTGTCCACCATGTTTTAGAGCACCTAAATTAGGTGCCTACATGGGAACAATAGTGCAGATTCTGTACTTGGCCAAGAAAAGTGGCACATCTTCTCTATTCCACTCACCTTCCTGATTAAAATCTAGTTGATACTAACCAAAAAGTTGGCGTAGCCTTTTCTTCCATCCTCCCACAGATCACCTCTTAACTTTGCTTTCCCAAAACAAAGCAACCTGACACAGCAGCTGTATGAGTCTACAGTGTGCCCTGGCAGCCAGGAGGGCCAGCCTTGTCCTGGAGGGCACCAGGCTCAGCATCACCAGCCAGGCAAGGGAGGGGATTGTCCTGCTGTGGTCTGCACTGGGCTGGGGAAAGTTCTGGGTGCCACAGTGTAAGTAGGATATAAAGCTATTAGAGAGTGTCCAAATGAGGGCAATGAGGATGGTGAAGGGAGCCCTGTGAGGAGCAGCTGAGATCTGTTCAGCCTGGAGGAGACTGAGGAGAGCCCTCACTGCAGTTACAGCTTCTTCATGAGGGGAAGAGAAGGGGCAGACACTGCTGATTTCACCACTTGTGACCAGTGATAAGAGTCCAAGAAATGGCATGAAACCAAGTCAAAGGAGGTTTAGGCAGGGTATCAGCTAAAAGGTTTTCTATCCAGAGCACTGCAACAGGCTCTGCAGAGAAGTAGCAGAAGACCAAACCTGACAGAGCTCAAGAAGCATTTGGAGAACACTGTCAGGCACATGATGTGATTCTTGGGGTGTCCTGTGCAGGGCCAGGAAGGACTCAGAGATCCCAATAGTTCCCTTCCAACTCAGCATATTCTATGGTAATATGACACTAGGGTTTGGGAAGCTTATTAATCCATGCAACTGTTGAAAGAAATGTCCCATAAAGAAAAAGACACTGTTTAGCTAAGACAAACATTAACTCAAGGCTCAACTACCCAGTATGCTCTGGGGACAGAAAATTGAACAAAATAACTCCTCTGCAATTCAGAGATGGAATTCCAACTGCTTGTTTTAGTATAAAACCCACTCATTTTGGTAGTACAAAAACAAACAGAAGAGGATACACAACTAATTTCAGTACTAAGGTATTTTCCCCTGTTTTTCAAATCTGCTTCTGATTTTACAACCCCAGTTCTGGGCAGAAACAGTCATAGCCACTAAGAACACTGTTTAATTATCAGCCCACTACACTGTAAACCTCCAAAACTACCACTTTGATTTGCATGCTTTATAATTTGATTTCTAATTTAGAGTAGTAAGTGAAAGCTCTGCAATGAGATGCCTCTCAGTACCATTTTCATGTATGGCACCTCTTTTTCAACCAGATGGTAGGCAAGAAAAGTTTTTTATAGTATTATATTGAGAGATTCAACTTTAACAAGTAGCGTTTAATACACTGCAAAGCCAATAAAAGACTGATAACAAAGGCAAAGGAGGCCATCACTATTGTTTTATAAAGATTAAAAAGACATTTCCTATTTGTGCAGACACCCTTTGTTGAGATCAAGGCCTTGGAATTGCCAGATGAACCTGGCACATCCAGCTGCCAGTGTGCAAGGTGAAATTGAAGGGGGCAGCTCAAGTAGCACAGACATGCAGGATTTGAGCTCAGAGAATGAGCCCATGCCTGAAGCAGACGTGAATTTATCAAGCTTACAATTTCATGACACAGACACTTAGTGCCTGATTAAAACTAAGACAACCACAGCTTATAAATACTGTAGAAGGCAAGTGGGATAAAAGCCTTTAAATAGTAGTAGAAAAGCAAAGCCTGGGAACTAGAAAATACTACCTGCTCAAGTGAAAACACAGATGATGAAATGCTAGTTATGTCTAGGTAATACTACTTACCATTTTCAGCAACTGCTTCCAGAGTGGAAATCTCTTTTAAACCACTAGAGAAAAAGAGGGAGAAAAATAATTAATTTTTTTTTCTAGGTAAGAATGATGTGAATCAGAACTATATGAAGATACTGACTGATAAAAGGATTACTGGCAGTCCCTCTGTTATCCTTTCATCTTTTCCTAATGATCCTTTTCTCCTACAAAGCTATTAAAAATGTAAGGATGACATCTTCAGCTAATTCTTAAACCCGCCAAATTTCCTAGGCAGCAGAGCAGCCATACAACTGACACTATTTTGATCAGCCTCTGGGAAGCTTTTTTTCATTTGCTTTTGGCCCCTTGTTTAACATTTGTACAGAAGCTCTTTAAAATAGTTATCACACCTCTTTTTGTGCAGTGACGTGGCAGCTAGAATTGCATTTGTTTAGGACACGTTGATATCTGCATCGTAAACCAACATGTACAAATGCTCAAATAACAAGCTGGGAAGAAGAATAAGCAGCAGAAGTTCAGCAACCATGCCTTGTATTTTCTAAATATGCATTCACCTGAAGGAACACTGTCTCCCTATCTCTGCTAGATCATAGCCCTCATAGATCTGGAAACATGAAGAATTATAGCCCTCCTCTTCCTTCCATAATGATGGAAAATCAGGCTCTTTATTAGCTTCAGGTTTGTCTGTATGTTTATTTGCTTGCTTATTTATCCTTGTCAGTCTTTTTGACCCATGGAATGTCTTCTAGCAATTAATTCTGCAGGTTAATCACGTGTCGAGTAAAATAATTGAGCCTTTCTGCTAAGAAGTGTGTTGCCATTTAGTTTTATTAGCTGCCCCTTTGTTCTCATATAATGAGGCAGACAAAATAGAAATGCCTGACTGCCTTTCTCAACATAATTCATCTATTATGCCTGGTAAGCTCATCACGGGGTTTTGAAAAACACTGAATTCGTCCTTGTAAGAGAAACAATTTTGATAGCCCTACAAGCTCCCACTGTGTTTTTTTTTAATTTCCTGAATACAACCGACATTTTCAAAAGCTCCAAAAATCATGCACACATGTGGGTCAGTTCTGTTTGTGATAAACTCCTACCTGGCAAGTGGCTGTAGCTGAATCACCAGTAAGTTTGGGTTAGATGCATTCAGTTCCAGCTGAGAGACATTTAAATTAGTCACATTTGTTAACTTCCAATCTCCTGATTCTTGAAGAACACTTAGGAGATTCCGAGTAGCCCTGCAGTCAACAGCTGGCAAAACTAAAGATGAAGGAGAAGACTGAAGAATTTCCTGAAATAAATTTATGAGAAGTTTATTTACTTGCTTAATATTAAGTTACATAATAATTAAACACAATCTTTTTTTAATGTATCCTTAATTTAATATTTAAGGTGAGTAACCTCCACAATAAACAGCATGTGAATTCTCACTTGCCTGCTTGATGGTGGCTTACAGAATGCTCCTGAATTTTCTTGCAGCAAGCTTAAAGCACTCAGAAACACCAAATTTTTATTGTCTTTTCCGCATGTATGGTAGAAGAAGAGAGACAGATGATGTAGAAGTTCTCAGACTAAGAGTGTAGTGGTTATGAACATTGCCAGAAGCAAAGCTCAGATTACTCTCTGACTAAATGCCCTTGGAAGTCAGAAAGATCCATATCAGACACCTCCAGTTCCAGCAGCTCCACTCATACTTTGCATAATAAACATCCTGCATTTGTGTACATCCTGGTGGTACAGCACATGGTACAGAAAAATGTCTAATTTGTAACTAATAATTAAAGAAAGCTGCAGATTTCAGGATTCACAGAGCCTCCAGACACACACAAACAAAATTCATGTCATATGCTTTCCACCTTTCTACTCAAAGTACAAATTATAAAGCTCAGACTGAATTGGTTCAGATAAAGCATCAGGGTATCTTTCACTTTATTTACAATTCTGGTAGCTGACTTCCTGATAAAGATGCTTGAGTTAAATGAATTGAAAAACACTCTCATTCTATAAATTTGGAACCTGCATAGTCAAAAAGCATCTTTCCAAGCATTTTTCTTGATAATAAAATTAACCTGAAATATTTGGGGATGCAAGATGAAGACTTGAAAATTATCGAGATTAATGTAGCCCATATTTAATGTTGTGGTGGGTTGACTGTGGCCTGATGCCAGGCACCAACCAAAGTTGCTCTATCATTGCCCTCTTCAGCTATATGAAGGAGAGAAAATAAAAGGCTCATGGGCCAGGGAGAGTTCACTAACCAATTACACAAGGAAAACTGACTTGACTTGAGATAATTAATTAAACTTATTGACAATCAAATCAGAGTATGATAACAGAAATAAAGCCAAATCTTAAAAACATCTTTTACCCACCCCTCTCTTCTTCCAGTCATATTACCCACAATTCTCTACCTCCTGCCCTGCAGTGCTGAAGAGGGATAGAGAATGGGGTCTGTGGTCAGTTCATCACACATTGTCTCTCTACTGCCTCTTCTTTATTCGGGGAGGACTCCTCATACTCTTTCCCTGCTCCTGCATGGGGTCCCACCCATGGGAATCAGTCCTCCATGGACTTCTCCAAGGAGAGTCCTTCCACAGGCTGCGGTTCTTCATGAACTGCTCCAGCATGGGTCCCTCCCATGGGGTGCAGTCCTTCAGGAGCAAACTGCTCCAGCGTGGGCTCCTCTCTCCACAGGTCTCTCCTGCCAGGAGCCTTCCCACAGGGTCACAGCTTCCTTCAGGCATCCACCTCTCCTGGCACTGGGTGCTCCATGGGTTGCAGGTGGATCTCTGCTCCCCCATGTACATCCATGGGCTACAGAGGCACAACTGTCACCCCTTGGGCTGCACCACAGGCTGCAGGTGAATCTCTGCTCTGGTGCCTGGAACACCTCTGCCCACTCCCTCAGTGCTGACCTTGGTGCTGGTTTCTCATACATTTCAGTCTCCTCTCCCTCTCCTCTCCCTCTCCTCTCCCCATTGTGTCTGTGCAGTAACTTCTTCACCTTTTTAAATATGTTACCGTGTCTCTGATGGGCTCAGCCCCGGCCAGTGGCAGGTGCCTCTTGGAGCATTGGCACTTTTGGACATGAGGGAAGCTTCTGGCAGCTTGTCAAAAAAGCCACCAGGGTAGCATGCCCACTAGCAAAGTCTTGCCAAGAAACCCAATGCAAATATGAGTATTAGAAGATATTTTTTCTTTGAGTCCTAGTTTACACCTTGTTAACTTTGCTTTTGTATTTCTACATTTAAATCTAGATTAAGTCTGTCATTTGACTCAACATTCAGATATTCAGGCTGTTACAGACTCTTTTCCTCTGGTGCAAGCAGTGTGGTGTTCCTAACACTTTTCTCCTACTGTTAATTTTTTTCCTTTTTGTCTGTTCTTTGACTGCTTACCCCTTTTCTGGCCTGCTCTTGTTCTTTCTAATTGCTCACATCTTCCTTCCTAGGCAAATACTATAGGTATTTTC